CGTTAACGCTCTGGCAGTGACTTCAACAACATTATCTGGTGCATTCGGATCCATAAATATCTTACAGAGTGCAGGGATAAAAGTACGAGGGGGACAACTATAGGATGAATACGTTAGAAGCAGTTATAGCTACTATAATACCTTTCAAAGCACTTGTCAACGTTGTCCGCCATTAGTAGCAGCATACAAAGCTGCTCCAGTGCCACTAGCTGTATGTCACGATCAGCTCCATCTCCGATAGAGAGCCACTCCAAAAGTGTTTCTGGTTCTAAATCCTAAGAGATAAAGAAAGGTAACCAACCTTACTAGACTAATAAAAATATGTACCATATTTCCTCTTCTCTTGAGTCTTCACAGCACTGTCACGTCAGCACATAAAGTCCACACCCAAATCTCCTCCCGAATATCTCCACCTACTGGCACCTAGAATCCTAGATGTAGGGTATCTAGTAATGTAAGTATTTTTTCATTATAATATATGTATAATCATCATTATTTTTAGTCTCTCTACTAATATCTACACGTATGTTAGAGTATAATAATACAAGAAAAACCTAGGGAAAACCTATCTCCTACGAGCTGGAGCTTAACGCACGGGTTTACTTCACTCACGTAGACAGATGGCATCGAGGTTGTATCATACTGGCATCCGTTTTAGTGCTCACAATTCATTCAGGATGCAAGTAAAACTCTTCAGAATCACACTGTTACTTACCATTCTTTTTAGACTATTTTATCGCTGAATAGGAATTTGAGAAGTACTGCATCAAGTGAGACCCCATTAGAACTATTTTGTGTTACTATTTTTAGATGCATTCTTTGTCAGAAGGACCAAAACTAGTAATATACCAGGATACGTTGATTACAAATGTGGTGGAACAAGAACGTTGACAATAGTTAGAAAAATTGATGGAGACACAGAGGTACGTGCAATTTGTGCATTCTATATAAGTATTGAGAATTTGTGTTCACACCTTTGTGATACTAAGACCTTGTTCAGTCCATAGATATTGCAACGAGGGGAGGATTGGAAACTGGATCATGTGTGCCACTTTTCACAGTTCGATCGTGTTTGCTGGGATCATATGGCGCTACAACTCTTGTTTTTGTGGGACTGTAACTCTTCATTCAAACCAGACTCTATACAAAGACTCATTTTGTTGCTCAAAGATTGATCTTTGAGGTCAGCTATTTTATTTACTATTTTTGTACATGTAAATCTTTCGTGATGTTCTACTATCATTTGTGGTTGAAAAGCCCATAGAGGTAGCTAGAATGGGCTTTCAACCACAAATGATAGTAAAACATCATGAAAGGTTCACAAAAATAGTAAATAAAATAGTTAACCTCAAAGATCAGTCTTTGAGCAACAAAATGAGTCTTTGTATAGAGTCTGGTATACCTTGGACAAAGAGTTACAGTCCCACAAAAATGAGAATTGTACAGAGCGCCATATGTTCCAGGCAAACATGATCGAACTGTGAAAAGTGGCACACGTGATCTAGTTTCCAATCCTTCCCTCGTTGCAATATCTTGTTCAGTTTTAGTATCACATAGTTCAGTCTTGTACCTCACATTACAGTAGTTCCATTATTATTGGGTTGTTTTAAAGTTAATTTTACAATAAGTAATACAGTATAGCCTACTATGAGGGGAAGGCCTGCATGCCTTTGAAAGGAAAATTTTAAAGCTACTTCAAAATTTGGCCAAAGAGCATAAAAATTGGCTAGGAGAGAATTCTAATCTGCACACATGGTCTTGTGTTGTATATAAAGTTTGAGTTGATTTTGATTAAAAGTCGATTTAAAAAAATCCTTCAAAATAAAAAAAAAGATTATGTAGGACTCACTCTGTGCTAATTTGTCAGAAAAATAATGGAAACAAGGGCAAGCAGGATTCCAAACAACTAAAATTGAGAGGAAAATCCTACTCTGGTGATGCAAATTCTATTCTAATTCAATGTAATTGTAAAATTTTAATTTTGGTTGAAATCAATTCAAACTTTTACATCATTTACGAACATGTATACATCAAAACATTGTTAAAATCAAAAATTCTTTTTTTTGCAATTTTTGATGAAATATGGCTAACTGCATGGTTTTTGGTCTAATTTTTAAGCAACTTTAAAATTCAATTTTGATTGGAATTAGCTCAAATTTTTAACGTAACATAAAGACATATATTTATCAGAAAATTATGAAAATAGATAATGAAACACCCTGTACTACAGTACTGAGTCTTTGGTTAAACTTGATTGGTCTACTACAACTCTTCATTACTTTATCTAGTATCTCTGCTTACATTGTATGACTGATGTACATGTATTTCTGTAGGTATCCAATGGTGGTAGGAGGGTCCAGTTGTTTGATGCTGATGCAGAGCAGGACGATGAAGACAAGTGAACTATAACTTATTAGTGTACTGTATAGTGTTGCAACACTTTGCTTCAGTTTTAGTTCTATTTCTCGTGCATTATCTTTGTTTTATAGTTCTAGTTTTTGTACCATGTATCTTATACCAAGTTTTAGTTCTAGAACATTAGCCTGAAGAAGTCTGTTCCAGTTTTAGTTTTAGTAGCTACATATTTTATTTTTAGTTCTAGCTTGTGCCAAAAAAATTTATTTATAGCTTGCTTAGATCTACTCAAAACTCTCCACCCAAATCATTAGTCAATAAACATTAATAAACAATGGCGTCAAGGATGTATCATACTGGCATCCGTTTTAGTGCTCACAATTCATTCAGGATCCAAGTAAACTCTTCAGATCACACTGTTACTTACCATTAACTTTTAGACTATTCTATCACTCAATAGGATCTGAGAATACTGCATCACGTGACTCATTAGCATTCAAGCTGCACTATTAATTTTTTTGTGTTACTATTTTTAGATGCATTCTTTGTCAGAAGGACCAAAACTAGTAATATACCAGCATACCTTGATTACAAAGGTGGTAGAA